TATATATATACATAAAGTCTTGTTTCTAACATTATATATTTTTTGGATACATTTTTATTATTTATTTACTTTATTTGTTATTTCTGTTATAAGCTAAAATTGAAAAAACAATGACAAAAATTTACGTATTCAAAATACTTTACAAAGTTACTTTGCAAAGTTTCATTATGATTTAGAAATTAGTTAAAAAGATTAAAAAAAATTAATGTTTTGTTCATTTATGGAACAATTAAAATCCGTGCATCTAAAGCTAAAATATTGAAAAATAAATGAAATTTTTTAATCATTTTGTAACACATTTCCAAAAATTTTCATTAGAACGCAGAATAAAAAGAAATAATATCTCTTACATAAAAAATAATTTTTGATCCAAGTTCTAAATCGTCGCCAAATTTTTTTGTATTTACTTCTGTACAAACGCGATCGAAAATAATGTGTAAATTTTCATTATTCTGAAAAATACATATAATACGTCCTTAACGATATCCTTCTACATTCTACATCTCTCGTAAACAAGGTCTTTCGCAGGTAGAAAAGAACGCGCTCAAAGTCTCATCTCTCTCCGAGTTTACTCGATTCGGGCTCGGCTTTTAAAATCTCGATCTCGCGCGAAACGGGCGCGCACGTGGGCACGGCACTCACCTCTCGTATTTCACCTGCATCGAATGCGCGGAGGTGTCCTCCCAATAATTCTGCGTCTCCATCATCTTGCCGCATAGAATGGCGGTGATACCGCTCGCCTCTCCGAAATCTCCGCGACGATCGTTTCCGCCCTCGCGCTTTCCTCTCCTCTTCGCTCCTCGCCCACCACCAGTCGTTATCGTCGCCCCGCGAGAACCCTCTCCGGACCCGCGAGAGTCACGTCGGCTCACGCGCTCCTGTCACGTGACGGTATATATCTCGTGAGAGATGCGGGCGGATTCTTCGCTACTCTCTTTCTCTTCCGCGAGCTCCGCTCCGGAAACCGAGAGACTCTCCCGATTGAGCTTGGTCAAATCGGCGAAGATTGAATCGAGCAGTGACGTCAATGACGCGTAAACGCGGAAGAAAACCGTACTGAGACCATACGCATGCACGCACACGCGGCACGACACGGACACGCCACGCAAACGCCACGAATGCGCGAGATGCGGCGCGAGATTAGGTTAGTTTCGCGTCCGCGGGCTCACTGACAGGCACAACTCGCGCGCGGCAAGTCGGCGACGCACAGAGGAAACATTCGCGCCCACACGACGCTCTGTCGCTCCGAGTCAATCCGAGTCAGTCTCGCGACCGCGCGCGCGATATTCGTGCTGGCGCCCTCTTTCTCCTGCCTCCCACCTTCGCGTGCGTTCTCTCTCTCTCTCTCTCTCTCTCTCTCTCTCTCCCCTCTCCTCTCCTCTCTCCCCCGTACACTGCCGTGCGTGGCGCCGGTCACGATTCACGCCTCGTTTTTTTCTTTTTCACGAGAAATCGCTTCAACTTCCACCGCTTCCCTCTCCTCTCTTTTTTCCGTCGCTTGTTGTTCAACGATAATAATATCGTATTGTAATCACGATGTCCTCAAATTCGAATCACGTTCCGCAAACCGCTGTTCCACTTCCCTCTTCGCGCCGCTTATTTAATGATAATGATATCGTAATAATTGCGACGTCTCTTCAAGTTCGAATCAGGTTTCTTGCCAAGGTTTCTCTCACTTCCTCACCCTCACTTCGTTGTGCGAGAGAAATTATGCGCTCTACCGATTCCCACGCAATTCGACGGTGGATCGTCTCTCGCGATCGTTTCTCGGGAAGTCTCTTGTCGCCGAGATTTATCTACTCCGCCGTTTCCTCTCGCAGGTCTCTTCAGGTCTCAAGTCGCTCGAGGATATCATCGGGGGAGATAACACCCCCTTAATTTTATCACGATGACGACTTATTACGTGTCTTCGTATCGCGTGGACCGTCCAAAATTAAGATTCACGCGCTCGAACGTGGCCCGATGGTGCTCGGGACGTGATAAGGCCGTTGACTCGTGACCGCGAAATCCGTGATACTCCGGTCAGGATCATAAATTCAACCAATGCTGCCGACGAGTACTTGTGCGCGAAGATTTCGTCTCGGGATATTCGAATACCTTTCTCGCTCACTTTTTTTTTCGCCGGCGAAGAAGATCACGCGATGCACGCACGACGGATTCACTGAACTTTCGCGAGAATCCGAACACGAAACTATCGAAAGCGTTTGATTACTGGCACCCACGATCGCTCGCTCAAAAACGTAATCTCTCCGTATGGTATTTCACGATTTGATGCTGCAACAAGCGCGAATCGTTCGAATTATAAATTTCCAACGCTCTCCGACGACGCACGGCACGGCGCGGACACGGCGTGTCGTCACCTCGGCAGGGTTACGTGTAATCGCGCGCGGCCCTGTCCGACGCTCTCGCGATGAATCGCTGCCTGGTGGGAGTAAATCCGGAGCTTACTCGCTGCTCAGGTACGGCTGCTACTCTCGCAAGTTGAACGTGCTACCTCATTTACAATCTCTATTGACAATAGCAACGTACATCATTAACTCCTTGATTTTTATGGAAATTATGTTAAAAATATTTTTGTTGACTCAACTCAAAGACATTTTAGTAGTACAAGTAATTCATACTAAAAAATTATTTTTTTTTCTCTATTGAATATTTATCTGAATCTCTATTGAAATAGCAACGTACATTATTACCTCCTTTAAATCTGATTTTCATGGAATTATGTTAAAAAAATTTTATTGACTCAACTTAAAGGCACTTTGATAATTCATAAAGAATTAATTGAAATATATATCTGATTTTAGATGTAATAAGCGCATTTTGTGAAAATCAATTTTACACGTTTGAACTAAAACATAACGCTTCAAAGATACGTTTTAAACCATTATAAGTATTAATATTATAAAATATTTAACGATTTTTTTACTAGTTTAAAATATTGTTTTTTACGAGATAATTTGATGGTTTAATAAATATATATTTAACGTTAATAATGTCCATTTATTTTTATACACCATAAAAGCTTGGTTAAATGTTGTTTAAATGTAACAATGTTTCATTAAACGTAAATGGTCTGCTTGGATTACAAAAATTAGAAAATAATTTTCCCGAGTTCAGTTTCAATATTACAAATGAAAAGGAATGTTACTGGGGATTTAAACTTTATATTTGTTCACGAATTCGTAAAAAATTAATTGTGTAGATTGATATTTAAATCTAAACGAATAAAATAATTACATCGTTATTATTTAATTCTTGACATCAAGGACGACATTGAGAATTTCGATAAAATCTTTAATTAGTCATACTCTGAAAAAATTCTTACATCTTCAAAAAATAAAGATAACACTTATCAATACTAAACGAATCTGATATTAATTTTATTGACGAAATCTAACATAATTGATTCAAGAAAAATATATATTTCTTCGCGGAGTTAGTATTAATAAAATAATTTTTTAAATTGCCTACGTCAATGGAAATCAAAGCTTTGTTTTTTTAAAAGAAATCTATTATTATTAGTCAAACTAATCTCTGAAATGGATAAATAGATAAGTAGATAAATAGATAAGTCATGAAAGAATTCTTAAATGGTATCAAATATTGACGAGAATTCATAAAAATCTATTATAAACAAAAAGATAATATTTTTCATCGTTATCTTCACATTAATATTATTTGTTGTGAAATACAATACACTTAGTGAAAG